ATACAGGGAGGGAGGGTAATCAGAAATTTTACCACTGTTGAATTGCCAGTACAACTAGTTATGAACATGGGGTTTTTTCTGTTCAAAGTATTCAAAACACCAGCAGCAGTTCGACCAGTCCTGCTCTACGGTGCAGAGACTTGGCCACTAAGGGAACAGGATAAAAATAGATTGTCGGTGTTCGAACACAGCTGTCTACGTCGCATTGCACGTGTCTGGTGGGGTAACCGGACTAGCAATGCCGAGGTTAGGCGTAGAGTTTTAGGCAGTCGCGGTCGTCCACTGGAACAAGTGATCGACCTCCAGAGATTATGCTGGTTGGGACATGTGCTACGCATGTCACCAGATAGGTTGCCACGGCGAACAATGTTTGCCTAGGCTGATAGCGATTGGAAAAAAACGAAGGGCGGTCAAGCTAAGACCTGGCATGAGGGTATGAAAACCCTAACCAGGACACTAGGTCACATAGGCCCCGTTAGACTCCCTGGCTGGGGACCTCGGGATGATGGTCACCGATGGTTAGAGACACTGTGTGATATGGCTGGGTGTCGCAAACAGTGGCGCTCGTGCATCCGCTCGTTACTTTCCTAACACACTATATGTATTCCCCCATCTCACTCTATATGTATTCCCCATCTTCCGCTTGAATTTGCTTCGACATTCCAATCTTCATTTCGCTATTTTATCCAAATGGGCAACCAAAAGACAGCAACCAAAACCCGCGCACGAAAGTGCATGGTTAATGGTTGTAAAGCTGAAGACTGAAAAACTGATTCAAAACACCCTGTTGCTGAAAAGGATTTGACTTGTGCTTGTGTGTGTGTTTAATTATTTCGTGTCAAGTCAACTGGCTATTGACCATGCTATTTTTACATGTGCGATATATGTAGTTGAGTCAGACGGGGCTAACTGCATAGATGGTGGAAAGTCCATGCCAGATATGGGGATAAATCTATTCAGGAACGTCGTTGCCCAGGATAAAGATCCTTTCATGAGATCCATCAAAGAAAATGTGTTGTTGCCCGGTTCTTGACCAATAAGACTGGTTAGGATTCAGTCATAGTTTTGATGCCGCTTACTCTTGATTTCCGCTTACAGACAACCGGGTTCTTTGAGCTCTCAACCGAATAAAAACGTCCAGAAGTCAACTGAAAATCCTATATGTGCCACTAAAATATCTATATCTATATATATATTTGTGTACTCTGTGGTAGCTGGAAAACGCTCATTTCAGTGATGCAGTCTCACAGCATTTGACGGCATCAGATGGTGCACACACACATCGTGTTTCGGTTCACAATCGTTTTTATTCTTCTTTAGTCGGATACACTTGTTTGCTCATATGTTATTATTTCTTATTCGTCACATTTCCATGTTCTTTTCGCCTGTTCCCATAACTGTACTATTTCGTGTGTACGACATAGGGGAGGTTTTCTCTCTCTCCAGTCCTCCGGATTTTCGTGTCTTCGTTTATTTGTTCTGCAATTTCAAGTTGGTGAAACGAGTCCATTGACTTTGCACACACACACACACACACACACACACACACACACACACAGAGAGAGAGATTCACAGGGCTTTTGTTTGTCCTCGATACACTTCATTTCATTGATGCATGTCCTCCCCCCTCGCGCATCTCGATTCGAGTCGATTTTGTCGTTCTCTCCCCCTGCGTTGGTCAGTGGTGTGATTTCTTTTCCGAACAGAACAACATTGAGATAGAAAATACGTATATGCTGCTCATTTGTTCGTGAATGTTCCCCTTCCCTTGTTGTCTATCGTGCAGTCATTGGACCCAGGATTGTTCTATTTGGTTTCAGCAGTTTAAACCAATGTTTTCTGTTTAAATGGTACTACAAATATGCATCTCGAGATAGAGAGCACATGATGTTGTGCTGCCTATTCGATCCGTGCCAGTCAGTCCAACTGGGTTCGCGAGAGTAAAGCTAGTTCAAGTGAAGGCGTGGGAGAGAGTAGAGGTAGTAGTAGTAGTAGTAGTAATAATAGGATCACATGTGTACACTATCCTCAGCTCTGTTTTCAATACAAACGGGGAGCTGTCAACGTGATTTATATTTGTTACATCTCGTTCGTCCGTGCAATAGTACCACATGTTTGTTCGAACCATTCAGCTAGTGTGTGAGAATCATTCGTGCATAGGGACTTGTCATGGGGTTGTTAGCGATCCATCGCTCCGTTTAGTTCCGTGTACATTTTAAGCGTGAGGAAATTCTTGGGCTCATCGTGCTGTTGTCATTGGACTTATACATTCACGTACCGCTGTCCTTTCCAACCCGATCAGACAGACTTGTTCACCAATGTCATCGCATCTCTAATTTCCTATCTTCGTTTTGTATATCACGTGATGAGCTGAATTCAGTAATGTTCATATAGACTTTTGAATTCATGCCCATCAAACAACGAATAACAGCCTCATCGATCACGGGTTCTCCTACAAATATTTGCCTAAATGCTAAGAAGCACTATACAGCTGTTTCGACTTGGTTGGGTCTCATCAGCAATCGAATCCATCCACCCAATTGGGGATCGAACTCGGGACCTCACAGGTACATCGTTAACCCTAGTTGGGTAGATGGATTCTCACTGCTGATGAGATCCAACCAGATCGAAACAGCTGTCCAGCGCTTCCTAGCTTTTCAGTTCACGCTTCATTAGCTATATGAACGACGAATTCACCTTTAAAATTTACCTAGAGGGTGACTGACTGAATTGAAATGTCGAATCACACACGGTAATTTGACCTCAGAAATTAGTACCATCTCAGATTGCCCTCCCACCCGAAACTCGGCATTGAACATGGCTATGCAATTTTCATATCGTGCTTGATACATGCATACCTTACGATTCGGGTTACAGCGCCCCATTGACAGGTTACTTGACCCTCGGTTCTTGTCCATTCGCTGACTCTGTGTCAATAAACCAGTTCTGTGAGTCGGGCTGAATGTTCACACAGATGGATGATTCCTATCTCAACTTGTCCGTAGTACCGTAGTAGATAAGAAAAAAACAGTCTAGTTATAGCAATCCGGGCTCCGATCTGAATGTTTTTTTCTCCCTGACCTTTTTCTTCGCGCGCGCATGTGTGTGGCCCAGATTTTCACCCAGGTTCTCACCTTTTTCGAATGAACTCATTAGTAGCTAGTTTCACGGACGGGAGCCGGTTAGAGGTTTCGTTATGAAGGGAAACATTCTGCCCGGAATTGCATCCTATCATCTCTTGTTTTGTTTCTTGTCCCTCCGCTGATGACCTCACTGCTACTCAGCTGGTGTTTCTCTTGCCAGAATAGAGGTCGGTGAACAGATGTTGCACAGGATAATTTTTTGACAAGCACAATCGTTCGAACTTGAACCCGTACCCACTTCCAAATACATGCGTATGTGTGTCTTCTCTCGTGCACCGCAACTAACCGCGCCTAGTTCCATGCTCGCCTGAGAATGTAGGTACATCGCACATAAATATTGCATAACCGGTTGTCGGCTCCTAAATTGCACGGGTTTTGTTCAAACGCTTCTTTTTTCTCTTAAAATATCAAATATACTTTGTTCACGTATTCGGGTGAGAAGGTTGCGAAATTCTTTTAAATAGAACGATCAGATTGATGTTCCCATTGGGGACCGCCAAAAGTTAATTACAATGCGACTCAACGTGAGGAGTCACTGGGATGAGCTAAACCGTTAATCGATTCCATTGGATTTTTTTAATCTAAAATAATCCGTGATCAAACACAAGTAATCGTTTACTTAGATAGATGTTGTTTACCGAGACTCGCTCTCTCTCTATCTCGTACACCGCGGTATCTTTCTGCTTGAGCGAACTTGTTGACGGATTCACGTTCCGAGTGTCAACTTCTTTCCGTACCAGCGCGCATTCTTATCCTTCGATTCGTGCAGCCAGAACAACAGAGGAACTCTCTTCTGTACCTCTCTTCCCTCGTCATCCACCCTCGACATCATCACATCAACCTGTTTGTCCTACCGCAGCATCACTATCCGCTAGTCGATGGTCCTAGTCCAGCTCGGTTAGTTGATCGCACACCAGAACAAAAATTACGCCTTTGAATGATGAACTATGGCATTCGCTATCCAGACGTGCTGTTTATCCGACACTTTGTTTTGCTAATTTTCTGATAGTTATTCCATTCTGAATAATAGATGCTGCTACTGACTGTGGTTTCCTGTTCCGTTCCAGGCCCCACTTGAAAAAAATTCTGTCTATTTTATTCTGCACATGTAGCCGGATTTTTGACCAGATCGTGATCTGTTTCTGCTTTTCGATACAAATAATTTTCACCTGTTTTTTTTTTCATTATTGACACTGCACCTGTTTTCGGGGTAGTAAATAACTAAATAACGGTATGCCTCGTCCGTGGGCAAAGTTTATAGCTTGTTTCTATTCGTTGTGCTAACAGAGGTGTGTGTGTGTGTGTGTGTGTGTGTGTGTGTGTGTGTGTGTGTGTGTGCGGGGGTGAGGGTGATACGAGTCATCAGTAGTGGTCGGTCTCACAGCGACTGAAAATGGTCAGTGTCTGTGTCTGCTCATAACACGCAAAATGAACACCCATGCTCAACTCTGTTTTTCCCCCTTCTGAATCGGTATGTTCGACCCGGTTGCAGAGACGGACGAGTGGGTGGATTTTGTTTTCCTTTTAGTTCTGGGGCCTGCCTGGTCTTGGAATCCGTGTACACACGCGGAGGCGCGGATTGACCGATTCATTTTCGTCCATGGTTGTTCAGCTTATCTGGGCAAGCAATGAACACGCCTCTTCCTCCTCCCCCCCCTACCCCCGGCCGCCCTCCGTAACCGGTTCCCGGTTGGAGGCTAGATGTGCAACCCACATTTGTTTAAGCTTGGATCCAAATTCGTTCGCCTCCTCCCTCCAGATAGATGTTTTCCGTGAAAATAAATAGTCCCATTTTAGTTGTTGGTCCGTATTGGATGTTTTCTGGCTGTATATTGCCGGTGTTTGGCCGAACGTTCGATGCATTTGAGATTGGGAGGTTTCTATCCGCATGTAAGCATGAGATGGTGCCTGGGCCATTGTACACTCACCGTAACATGGTCGTTATTTTGCCAGTTGATGTCTCCCGGGGCACACAATAAGTTACGGCTCTGCTCCTCTTGGAGTCTATCTTTTCTACTCCCTTTTCGTCACCAAAATAGTGAATTCATATACACTCAGTGCTCATTAGACGACCGGTTTCGGTCAACGCGTAACGCAAACGTTAAACTGATCTTTGTTTACCCCAACCTTTTTCTAGTCATGATCATCATTGTTAAAGCTGAAGTCCACAGGCAGCTGAACAGTAGGGCAAAGCTGTTAGGCAATAACATTTAATTCGCTACCTACGAAAGAACTCATTAGATATACTACATACATACATACATACACGCACATATTCACTCATTTTATGATCTTGGTTAATAAATTGAGCCGCACTAGCTTGATTTCAGTAGTATCTGACTTACCATCCAAACGGGCTGCGGGAATTTCGGGGGAACAAGATAGGCGCCACATGTCACATAAATGGGAAATTCGAAACCAGTACTTTGTTCAGTTTGGCATTTCGCTCCCTCTCCCCACACACGATCGATCGCTGCGGATGTTGTCGGCTTATTTTGTCTTGTGTATGTTGCTCTATTGATTGCCACCTAGCATCGGCTACAATGATATTTTGTACTGTATCCTGTGTTGACTCATTTGTCCACCTTCTTCTTCTTTTCATTCCACAATTCCCTCAGGCCTATTCCACTGTCGGCACTCCGGACTACATTGCACCTGAAGTGTTCCAGCACAAAGGTTACACGAATTCATGTGATTGGTGGTCACTGGGAGTCATCATGTTTGAGATGCTGATCGGTGCGTTGTTCTCCTTGTTCGTGTCGTGTCTTGTTTCTCTTTTGCTCTTCCAGTCCTCATTTGTTTATCCAATATCGTGTTATCATTATCATTTATCATTCTTACTATACCCGATGCACACACACACACACACACAAACAACATTCGAACGTGCGGTGTTGGCCCGCGGGTAAGGTCATCAATTATCACCCCGGAGGACGTGTGTTCGAATCCCACCGCCACTGCCTGTCTTTCCCCATTCTCTGTGTGTTGTATGGCAGCCCTTTAATTGGCCACCTCAATCTTCTTGAAAATTGTATCTTCAAATATTCCATAAAGGGAAGTAAAAATGATTTTTAAAAAAGACATNAGGAATTTGGTGATTGTATGATTGTATGTATAAGTCGAGTTTCAGCAGTCAAATCCAACGAATCCAACGAATAAGTTCCGTCTGGCAGTCTAACCCTGTTTGTTTGTTTTAGCAGAAGGCTGTCGGTGCGTATGTTAGATTTGAGGATATGATAGTAATAATAATGATAATTTATTTCGTTTCATTGCATAGTCAATTTTGTAATCAGTTTTCATCAGACCGCTGCCTAGGAATGAGTAGAATTCGATGGCCATTGTGTCAGATTAGAGCGCATTCTTTACGGGACGATATGACCGCGATCCATACCGCTTGATTCCATCGATCACACGCGATCACTGGGATTAACTGAGGTGCACGGAATTTTCTGGCTGCCTTCTCTGGGGATGGACTTGGTGTCACTAGGTGTAACAATACCATCGATATTCTATTGAGGCCTTTTATGTGGTCCACCATTGCAGATCCGAAATCCGGGATATCAACACAGTTAGTTAATGGACTGACAAGGCATGAGTTGAATGTTTTCGCCTTGGACGATGGTCTTTATTCTTTGATCATTCAAAACCGCTGGGTACTTCGAACCAGTCATTTCCCCTTGTATGAGATGTAGCTCACTCGCTCCATTGACACACTATCCTATCCGCATACCATAACGGAATCTCAGCTACCCTACAATTCCATACTTTTATTTTTTGTTTCATTCCTCTTTTTCTGATTCCCAGACTCTAGAACGAAACAAATGTTTTCTTACTTCTTTTTTATTTATTGAATATACAAATGTACAGTCAACTTTCAGGAAGGAGGCTGCGACCATACAAAGGCTGTCTGGGGAAATACATAAATAGGGCAGACGGGCGGTGGAGGAGCGATTCGAACCCGAGACTTCTGGATTACAATCTGGTGACCTAACCAATTGGCCACCGCCGGCCAATCAATAATTTGTAGCTAAATGGTCGCTTCATCACTTCACACGACAGTGCCCCATTGTATTCCAAACTCATGACGTCAATGGATCTTTTGTTCGGGATGCACGTTTCGGCGCCATTTGGACGTGTTAGAGTTTTTATCGGCGGTCGCACCACAGTCATTTAAAACCTACCTCAATATGCAACTCGAGACGTAATAAGTAACTGCTTGCTTTGACGATGTTGATCTGACTAAGCAATTCCGTCCCACACATCGATATGTCCCTCTTTACTGTAGCTTGGCGCTTGTCACAAATCAGAGGGACGATGACATGTACCGAATGTGAATGCAAATCAATTGAATTCCGTTCATGAAAATTCAGTCGTCTGATTGCATCACGCTGTACTGTGGGAGTCGTCAACCGAATGCAAAGCGGTTATGTAAACTTGGGCATGAACGGTTTTGGTCGAGTGGGTTCTCATTCTTTACCAACAGGGTGTAATTACGTGGTTGTTCTACTCGATATTTAATATGCAGCGAAAAACTCAAATACTGTTTCTGAGACATTTTTTAATTGTTTTTGCTGGTTTCTATAACTTGCATTAACAGTCTGTTCAGTAGCCATACTCACATGTACCAGTTATGCTTTGCCAGATAAATAATCTAATTCGAATTAATCGCCCCTTAGAGTCGCTTTTAGCTCCCCCATCCCGTACGTGAACACATTCGGTGTATCCAACTGACAAGAAAACAAACACAAGTCATCCACATCGTTTATTTTTTTCCATCTACCTCCGAAATGCGTATTCGAGTCTCTTGTCGGTCCTATCTTTTTACTGTTCACTCGAAATTTACGGCGTGGCATTAATTTCGGGACAGTCATGCTGTGCTCTACAACTGTGTCATTTTGCGTTTGTGTGCCGTTCCATTTTTATCCGCACGGACTTTGTCGCCCGGGCGCGGTGCGTCATCGCATCGTTACAATCTCCATCGCCTGATGTGCCACTGAGTCATTCGCAAATGCACGTGCACGTCTGTCTGTTCTCCTCGCACGCAGTACGTCACCCCCACTACTACACACACGTATGCCCCAGCTCGACCTTCGTTCGACCACCCGTGCATTGTGCACGCGGTACACACCTAACATGATCGCGAAGTTCGAAGGAATGAACGACAACACACCACCAGACCGACCGTATCGATGAACTCATACCGTCATTTTCCGGTATGTTGCAGCTCTCTGGTGCCTTTCACACCACAGTCGCTCGACATTACTCACCGGTTATCCCCGTTTGTTCCACGTTTGTTCCTCACTTCGATTAGCATTCTGATGAAACAATGGATACAACTTATCGAACGTTTCTTGACTTATGGTTGTCTTATCCTTCATCAGCCTCGTGTGGTTGAAGTAGTTGGTTTTTGTGTTACCGTATGCAACTGTTTCTTATCCATTCCTTTCACACACAAGATCCGTATTGTGTGAGATGATAAATGAAAGGACCGAGTATCATGTGTTGATTACATCTTCTAACATCTCTTTATGATCTCTGCGAGTTGAATCTGACCAAGTTAGAGTTTCATCCGCCCACTGGTAAAGAGTATAGCATGATGTATTACGTACGCGGGAGAGGGGTTGTCGGATTTCTTGTTCCTGTATCGCTCGTTATCTTTGACGACGTCGTCCACTACAACAGCCTATTTTTATCTAGGACATCGTCTTATCCTTTCTCCCTTGTTCTAATCCCTGACGGAAAACGTTTCTCCACGCAATGAGTTACCACGATCGGCTGGATAGACCTTTCTATTCAGTTCTCGAAATCTCAAATTAACTATGACAGTTTTACCAGTTGCCGTTGTCCCATTTATCCATTCGTTCAATTGCCTCGTTCTTTCTACCCTACCCTACCTCGCGTTGTAGGTTATCCTCCATTCTGCTCCTCAACACCTCAGGAAACATATAAGAAAGTGATGAATTGGAAAGACGCCCTGTTCTTTCCACACGAAATGCCCATTAGTTGGAACGCACGACATTTGATCCAGTCATTTTGTTGCGCACCCGAATCCCGTCTGTCCAGCCTGGATGAGATTCGACGGCATCCGTTCTTCCACAATGTGGATTGGGAACATATTCGCGAGCGACCGGCTGCAATCGCCGTTCAAATACGATCGATAGATGACACGAGCAATTTTGACGAGTTTCCCAACGCAGACCTTAGTTGGCGTGAGTTCTATTGTCTATTGCCTTCCAATCTCGTCCCTCGCGTGATCAGTACGGTGAGATGTGGGTGTTTGAACGACAGAAACAAAGTTATATATTCGGGATCGAAACCCCCAGAGACCCGGTGGATCTGGGCGCTTCACTGACCTGAATACAACTATCAAATGGTCGACTGAGCACTTGCATTCATGTCCCAGTTACTGATTCGTTGAACGTTCCTAGTTTCATGTGATAAAGATATCCACTGAAGTAAGAAGTCATATCTTCTTACGTTTTTGCTCTACGGGGCACGGCTGATTTGTCACGAAAGTTCGTGCATCATTATCAATGAAGCAAATAACTTGGATGTTGTGTAACACTGCTGCAGATCCTGGAAGGGTTACAAGGTTATACTGACCTTAACAAATAATAAAGTTCGACTTTGGTTTGCTCGATTATGTCTGTGTTACCGTTTATCCTAGATCTGTCTTACAAGTTGAATAATAGACGATGGCGATCGGAGCGAAGGCGGTTATGGGTCGTCTTTCTCACGGAGTTGTGTTCGAGCGATTGATTTTCAGCGTACTGATTGTACGTTTTTCTCCAAAACCGCGTGATAGCTTGGGATTTCATTAGCTCGGACTAGTTTAATAATTGGCCGTTTTCCTCTAGGGATGTCAAATCTTTGCGTATTTCTTCTGCTCGGTTCTTTTCGTGAGAAGTTGGTGGGTTTTCTCTGGTTATCGATTCTTGCCTATCTAATTGCTCAGTATGGACCGGATACACATTTCTGTATTATCAGAAATTCAATCAACTTACGTCAGTTTTCACATGTGTCTGCATAAAAGATGCGTCTTTGGAATCAAAAGGAGTCCATATGTATCGTATATCCAAATAGAGCTTTGAGGATTGATATTCCAGTTTTCCGATTTCACCTTTTACCCACCGAATATGCCTTCGCACAGTAGATTGGGTAGTTGTTTGGTTGTTAGGTTTCCGGCCCCACATCCAGTTCGTTTACCTACTTACTGATATTCATATAGGCGTCTTGTGGTACTACTCTACACAAAGGTCTTTTGTAACTTGTCGGAGCGTTTCACTTCTGTTTGGTTCGAAATATGTATATCTCAGCCTACTTCAATCTAATCTATCATCTCGTTGTATCACGAGTGTGAACAAGCATGGAATATGAGGTCGTTCGTGAGTAGTCGGGCCTGTTGTCTGGATATTAGATTCTAGACTGATAATCTTCTGGTGCTCTTCCTCATCCTGTTAGTGAAATTAAATGTATCTGGATATAAGGCAACGCACGAAAGCTATCGGTTGAAATATGTGCAAATTACCGGTGAGATGGGTTGTTCGGTTTTTGTACTCACTGAAAATCGGTTAATGAGAAAGATTCAATCCCATCGCATCAGTTACTAATCAGTACTATCTGTCCACCGCATGCTGCCAGGTGCTGTCCCAATTAGCGAATAGGGCAACAGTCACCACCATATTGGTGACTAACTGTGAATAGAACGGGTTCAGGCTCACGGAATAAACGGTCGAAGCTACGATGGGTTTTCGCTTAGCAAATGTCTTCCCCATATAGCAAGCAGTACAAGAGGTTGGTGACAGTACTGTAATGTGTTCATTATGGCACGAATTCCTTTGTAGGTCCTTAGTATCAATCAGTCCCTTGAAGCCTGTGAAAGCCTTTGACTGGGATTCTGTGAAAACCTTTGTATCTTTATACAGTTGGCTTTTCTCATTAGTCTTTGTTTCAAACGGATGGCAAAATTTGTATGCGCGCTCATTTGTGAAAATGCCTTGATTCAACAGAGTCCTACACTGTTTCAAACAAAGTTGGATGCACGCTACTTCGAGCTAAATCTTTCCATGCATTGTGCGCCTGACTAGAAATAATAGCGAAAATAACAAATCTAGACATTTCCCAGTTTGATTGTAGTCACAATCTGGGCACGGATTACACGTCACACTGTTCACATCTGTCTTTGCCATGAGACCGATTTGACAATCACTTAGTTCTATTTAACTGGCTTGGACAGAGAACCGATAAAAATCGCACTGGCGTCNCCCAGGCCCATTCACCGTCAGTTGCAGGATGCATCGTTGCACTAATACGTTCGACGCGTGGAGCATTCGATACATGCTCTCTCTAGTGGATCCGGGATAGGTTTTGATACACTCCTTCCTAGGTTGTTATATGAAATTTGTCTTCCAGAAACTTTCGACAGATAACGTTTTACTATCTCAAATTTTTCACAATTCACTCTAGAAAAGGTATATTGCTCAGATACCTCCGCTTCTCGTCCGCCAGAAATGATGAACATAAAGTAAAACTCGTAATTTTTTGTGATTTAATGTCATTGCTATCAGTGTTGCTCATAGTATCTTCTCTTCCCCACCCACTCTTTCTCCTCGTGGGATCGGTTCTCACTTACACAATTGATGACAGCAAATGTGACGGATCCGATGAAAAGCTATCAGAAGAATCTGGCATTCATCAACTATACATACAAAGCATTTGATGGTTGGACAAACAACGACCGGATCCTCGGACATCAGCTGTTGCAACAGCAACGACATCAAAGTGCTCTGGCCTCGCGGGAGTTGATGAGTGCAGTCAGCATGCCATCCGCATCGAGTACGGCGGCCACCAGATAACCAAACCCTTATGACCGGGTCATCAGGGCCAACACACTGACTGCCACTCGCCAACCGCGCATGTACCGTTGGTCTTTCTTGGATTTTCGCCGATTGTGTCTCTTGGTGTACGTGTGTTTCGATGCCCCTTCCTTCACCCTATTGATAAACACCGAAACAGGCAAATTCGTCGTCTGTTTCACGACGGATGAGCTGAGAGGGACTAAGTGCACACATACAGCAGTCCGGGGTCTCATCTAAAACCATCATCTCATTCTCTTCACTCTCGTCCCTTTCTATTGTATATCTCGTTGATCGTCCCAGATCACGTACGTCAATGCAACCTCCGTTATCATTTCTGTGATCCGTTTTGTTGACTGCACGATTACCCATTCTCACTGTGGTAGCGGAGATTCCGCATTCGGACCGCCAGTCTAATGATTGGATTGGTCTTCACAA